TATTAATCTTTTAACATATTAATAAATCATTTATATTAATTTATTAATCTTATAATAAATCAATATCTCTGCTTTCATAATTTCCTTGTCTAGTTGCTAGGTTTGAGGGCAACCCAAAAGGACTGTGTTGCTATCAATTCAAGTACATACCAATTATAGTTATGGGCTTAGACACCTAACCCAACAGATAACCCCTTTAGCGGTGACACCAGACGAGACACGCCTGGTGTCGCCGCTAAATATCAATGTAGTCGCTACAAGCGTCGTTGCTAAAGGTATAGACCCATCCGTCGGAGACACACAACTTTCAATATTGGCCCTTGGTTTTGAACATGATCTAATGGATAAGGACCACTCTTGTGGAAGGAAATAGCGAAGACACCTTTAGCAGCGACCTTACATTAGACGCAATATTGGCCCTACGATTTTTACACGATCTGACAACCAATAATCACGAGAAATGCGATTTTCACCCACAATCACCACCGACCGGCCTCCACCACCAACTCGTCGGAATAGTTTCAACCCTTTCGCCGGATTGCGTTCCAAACCCGACGACAGTAGCTTCTTCGACATCAATTGTCGACGACGGTATTTGCTCAACGTCCTCCTTTCTCTTTCTCTTTCTTTTCCGACCTCGATTTCTCTTTTAATTTGTTGAATTTTGTGGTTTTAAATCACCACAACAGACACCATTGATTTTTTCGGCGACCGCCACCACTACAACACCATATTTCTGCATTTTCCAGCCATATGTTTGTTTTTCCAGCATCTATTCTTGTTTGTTGAATTCTGTTATATGTATTATGTGTATTTGTTACACATATGAAATTTGTATAAGAAATTTGTATATGAAATTGTTAGAAAATTGTATATGAAGTTGTTAGAAATTTGTATATGCATATTGTTATATGAAATTTGTATATGCATTTTGTTTGTATCTAATTGATATATATGAATGTATTGTGTGTGTTTGGTATATATGTTAAGTGTATTGTGTGTGTTTGGTATATTTGTTAAGTGTATATATGTGTATTTGTATGCATGCAAATAGAAATTATATGTATATGTGTATTTGGTATATGTATATGTGTATTTGGTATATATGTGTATATGTTTATTTGGTATATGTGTATATTTGTATTTGTATGTAAAATGTTATGACTTAATTAGGCTAGTCCTCAAAACTCCATAATGTGTAAAGTACAATGCTATGATTGAAAAAAAATAGCATGCTATAATTCACAATGACATTAAAAGTACAATACTATAACAGAAAACAACATAAAAATGATATAAATAAAATAAAATATGAAAAAGTACAATCTCATAATAGAAGTCTTTACATTTGACTAGTAAAATAAGGTTTGTATTTGTTGTAATCATATCATATTGTGTGTGTGTGTATATATATATATATATATATATATATATATATATATATATATATATATTCATATTGTGTTATAATTTTTCATGATGTAATTTTTTTGGATGCATTGCTTCATTTTATGGCTGATGTGATGGGCCATGGAGGTGATGGTGGTGACGAGCCACCACATCCGTTCGGTGGAGGTTTTGGTGATCACCAGATCGATGGTAATTAATATTTATTCTAATTCATTGTATTTCATATTCTATGTGTATAAAAAATTATCGTGACTAATATTTGTTTATGCAGTTGTACCTCCCACACGAAAAGGCATGGCAATAAACAAAAAATTACATAAGTTATTCTAAGAAAACGATAGGACGCCGCTAAAATTATGTAACACCTCAAAGTTTAGACCAAAATTTTCATTTTTAAAACTTCCAAAAACATAGTTTCACAACTAAATATCAAGTACAAGTCATCCCAAAACCACAAGTATCATAGTTATCAGAGTACATAAAAGATCATGTCCAAGTAGTAAATTCCCAGTGCATGTGTACAATCAGACCTTCGCCTTTCCGCGGTCCTGCGAAGTAACTGCCACATATAAATCAACAACTGTAAGCACAAATCTTAGTGAGTTCCCCAAGATACCACATATAACATAGCATAAATAAACAACCCCTCCTTAGGTTCAAACCCTAAATTTTGACCTAAAAACAATCAACAAAAGTCAACACCCAGCGAGTACGCTGGGCGTACAACTCCCTACGTTGAGCGTACTGCTAGCTATGCATGCCACGGGGGATCTCAGACCTACATTGTGCGTAGCTGGGAGTACGCACGTCGTACTCCTCGGACTTCCATTTCTTACTTCTTTGGTCTTAACCCATTAAGACAAACACTCCAACTATAGATCTGAGTAAATCAAGGTCTCTTAATCCATAAAGTCGTGGGCTTTAAGCTTTTTCATGGCTAGGAGAGGCTAGAACATCATTTCATCCATTCCAAGGTACTTTACTCATGCATGGAGTCAAAGGAAGGATCAAGCAACCATTTTTATTGATCTAGAAGCCCAAAAATGCATAAAATGACAGCTTAAACTGTCTGAAGAGTCTTAACTTGAAAAGATCCAAACTTTGGGGACTTCAACTCATAAACCTAACACTAGAAAGATCTTGAAGAACAATAGCCAAGGTATAAGCTTTATACCTGAAAATGATGCACAAAGATGGGTGGTTTCTGGATCTCTAAGCTGGATGACACCTTCTTCTTCTTCTTCCTCCTCCTCTTCTTCTTCTATCTTCCATCTTTAACTACAAGAGCCAAGAATCACTTTAAGCTTGCAAAATCACACCCATAAGCACACACTTGAGATTTAGGGTTTAGGAAAGGTTGGAGGCTGATAAAGGTGGCTAGAAATGAGGTCATCATGTTCCCTAAATAGGGATATAAAAATTATTAGGGTTTGCAAACTGAGCCTAGTACGCCCAGCTTACTAGGTGACCTTCGCGATCATGCTTAGTGCATTAGTACGTTGCGCGTACTGACTTGTCACCTTTCACAATTAAGGACTAATTTTGACATATTTAAGAAAGGTTAGGGAATAATAATTTATACCTCATTTCGAGATGTTACAAAATAGTATTTGACAAAAATACTACAATGTTAGTTGGAGAAGTATACGAATGCTTCATTCAGGGGGTTGGGAGTTATATGTGGCGCGACATAACTTTGGATAAAAGCGTCTGGAAAGAAGTTTCTGAAGCCGAAAAGAATGGCATGTTCACGTATCTTTCGGTAAATTATTTATAAAGTTATATTTAATATGTTTAATTTTGATTTATTTTTAACTTCTCTATTTTTTATTATTATTTTTTTTAAAGATGGTTTGATTTTCAAGAGATTTCAAATGATCCCATGGGTTCAATTTTTTGGTTGTTAGTGAACAATCGGATATGTGCGTAGTATAGAGGCCGCAAATATAATGCAAAAACTCGTTTTATTGGTTTGCAAGAGGATGTGGAGGCGGCAAGGGATCGACCCCCCACGGGTATGGATCTGCAACGTTGGAGTACTACTATTAGCTATTTCTTAACTAATAAATATAAAAAGCGATCCAGTGAAAACAAAGATTGCCAGCAAAATCAAGTAGTTAAGAATTGTGGAGGGACGTGCAACTACAGTAATGCTTGTTTCAAAAACGTAAGTTATAGTAATGGATTCAGTTATAACATATTTTGTAATGTTTATTCAAGTATAACATATTTTGTAATGTTAAACAGAATTTGAATAGACTTGAAGCATTTTTACCATGAGCATGTCAATAAACAAGGGGAATTCGTTGACTCGTTAGTCGAAGACCAATATGTAAGTTTTTATTACTTAAAAATGAAGTAGATTGTTGTTGTTTTTGTGTTATTTTGAAGTATATTGACAATCTTCGTGAAATACAAAATGCTTTGGTTGGTGAGATTGCTTTACAAACCCAACACATAACCGGCTCTGGCGGTGATCTGAACTCCATTGATTGGGTAGGCACATTTGAGAAAGTGTTAGGTGCTCGAAGGGGGCATATGAGAGACATCGGGCCTAAACCTCCTTTCGCAGCAGGTACAAGTGCTCCGTCTCGGTGGCAGACACAGTCATAGTCACCAACACCACAACCAACATAGATATTCATTAAACTCTTAAAGAATTTGGTATGTTGGTACTTTGTTGTGTTGTTAAGAACTTAATGCATTTAATAGTAAATTTTGGTAGTTTGGTGTTTTGCTTATTTGTTAAGTGCTTCATTCTTTTGTTATGAATTTGGTAGTTTGGTAGTTTGTTAAATTGTTAAGGACTTAATTGATTTGGTAATTTGATAGTTTGTTAAATTGTTAACAACTTAATGGATTTGGTAGTTTAATAGTTTGTTAAATTGTTAATGACTTAATGTGCTTGAGACTTAATTGTTAAGTAATAATAATTTGTGTTTTTAGTTTAATATTTTAACTTATATACTTACTTTGTATGATGTGGATGTTAACGCTTTTCGTCAAAACCCAGCGTTTGTGATGGTAATTGGAGACATTATCCGCTCGTTTAGTAACAAAACAACAATGCGAGCAACAATGATGGGGAAAACGACGATGGGAAAGATGACTAGTATTTCTTGTTTTATGTTATGAATGATGTTATTATGGATTTATTAGATTATGGATCAGATCGACTAGTATTTTATTTTTATTAGGTCGTTTATGTAATGTGGTATATTTTGTTTATATTATTGTGATGTTTTATGTAATGCATATTTCTAGATTATGATTTCTGTATTTTTGTAAATTCTGCATTTTTATAATATAAACAAATATAAAATATAAATTTTATTAAAAAAAATTCATTAGCGGCGATTGCTTTAGCGACGCCTGTAATCAATTGCGACGACAATCAACCCCAGGAAGCTTTTTCAAAATAACTTCGGCCGTCGTCGGAAAGTTATTTGCGACGTCCTTTTTTGCGATGACATTGGCTTTTAGCGATGCCGACTATTAGATACAGCGCTAATAGTGACGATTTTTTGAGTATTGCGCATTTGCGACAATATGTCGTCGCTAATACCTTTAGCGACGATTTTTGTAATTACTTGTGACGATTTTTGTCGTCGCTAATAGTGACTTTTTTGTTGTGAACCTTCTCCACCCCACTCTTATAGAAATACTTGATGTTTGAATCTTGATCATTTCTCAAAAGTTAAGATCCATCTCAAATTCTCAACCAATCTCATTCGTCCACTTCATGTAATTTTGTTATCTGACCTTTTATGCATCTCTAATCAACGGTCTGGAATTTATATTTATAAAATTAAAAGAAATGTTAGTAAAATGGAAATACATGTATAAAAAATAATCCCCCCATGAAATAATAACCGAAGAAAAGCGATTGAGAAATAAATAAAGGGAGGGAGGGAGAGGAGTGGTTGTGCACGGTTGGGGAGGGGGGGCGGTGGTTGTGCGGAGATTAGTCGTCTTCAAACATCCCTCCTCTCTCATCTCTTCCACACTGCCATTGTTGTCTATATTTAACATACCGATTCTCCACATTTCCAGATTTTTTTTCTCTTTTTTAATTTCTTATTGACCACCTTTTCTGCCTTCGAGTTCTTCAATTAATTAGCTTCTCCTTTTCTCTCTCTTTTTATGCATGTATAAAGAGAGATAAAAAGGAGTCGTGTGTTTTATGTTGCTTGTTATCTGTTATTGGTCTTTGATAGCATTAATCATATACAAAGGAGATTGGATTGTTATTTAGGTGAAATATCAAGGTACGTAATCAAATTCTTGTCACTTTTTGTGTTTGTAATGTTATTGATTCGTTTCCACGTTGTTACATTTCTATCGTTTCCCAAACTTAGGTTAAACATGCTGGAGTTTTCAGATTTTTTAATAGATTGGTTTATCTCTTCGATCATGCATAGTTTTGATTTTGATTCTTGATGTCGATATATAATTATACAAAATATTTATTCGATTGCTATGATTCTGTTCGTAGTGTTTTCAAAACGAGAAATAATTAACACTTTGTTTCTAGAAGTTGCGAGATTTCAATTTCACAATAAGCATGGGTGCATGCCTATATGTGCTTATAAGTTGTGAATTGTGATCGATCTTTGACATTTACATTATACAAAAACAATTGCATGATCGTCGTTACGAATTGAATTAATAGTTTGCAATTATCTGCACCACATTTAGACAATTATCTTGTTCAAATTTCAATACCTCTATTTTGGGTCTTGTATGTTGTATGTAATGTCAACTGAATATTTAAGAAAGGTTTAATTAGGTTGATTAATGGGGTTTCTTATCGTATGCAGAAACAACAGTACTCTTGGGGCAAATCGCATCTAATTAAGCCATTAAGAAATAAAAATGGCGGAACTTAGCGTACAAACAGGCTCATCTCACCCCTTGTTGGCCCATAAAGACCTTTTCCTAATCAATCCTCCGGGAAGCCCATTAAGCACACAAGAGCTTGACAATAACATCATCGACTTAGACAAAGCCAGTCCTCTAGCTCCCGACACTTATGAGCAGTTGTATCTTGATGCCTTTGATGTGCAAAGCTTCAACCACTCTCCTCCAAGACTTTCCAGCGTATCATCATATGCTACTACTCCAGAACCAAAACTCAATGAACCAAAAATCAATAAACCAGAGCTACGCTGTCGTACTGGAGGAGACACTAAGCCTACCACCAAAAAGCCTGTAGTTAATAATGTTGAAAGCAAGGTCATGAAGACATTGAATCGTTCTCCAAGTACAAAAAGTGTAACAAGTACTGTATCTTCTCCAAGATCTCCAAGAATCCCAAAGCCAAAAATAAGGAGCAGGTCTTTTCACGAAAACAACCTCCCTCTACCTCTCGCAAGCCCAAGAAAAGTCGAAAAGAGCCCCATTGCTCCCACACAAACACCTCCAACCGGGAAAGAAGATCCGGCATTTTTAGGGCCTTACTTGCTTAAACAAACGAGAGAATTGTTGTCAGCAGGGGAGAATCCAAAGAAAGCTTTGGAATTGGGTATAAGAGCAATGAGAGCATTTGAAACCAATAGATCTCAGAAACCCAATTTGGAATATGTTCTATGTTTACACATCGTAGCAGCATTGTACTGTAGTTTAGGCCAATATTTTAATGCAATTCCTCTTCTAGAACGTTCTATCGAGATTCCAAGTATGGGTGAAGGCCAAAATAACTCACTAGCTAAGTTTGCGGGGTGTATGCAGTTAGGCGATACATATGCAATGCTTGGATATATCGAAAATTCCATATTATGTTACACAAATGGTTTAGGAATCCAAAGACAAGTTTTAGGTGTAACAGATCCAAGATTTGGAGAGACATGCAGGTATGTAGCCGAAGCTCATATTCAAGCTTTGGAATTCGATGAAGCCAAGAAACTATGCGAAATGGCTCTTGACATTCACAAAGCAAATGGGACAACTGCTTCTGTAGAAGAAGCAGCAGACAGGAGACTTATGGGTCTTGTTTGTGATGCGAAAGGAGAATACGAAGCTGCACTTGAACATTACGTGTTGGCCAGCATCACCATGTCAGCCGCTGGTCAAGACGCCGATGTTGCCGCCATTGACGTGTGTATCGGTGACGCGTATTTATCGTTAGCTCGTTATGACGAAGCTGTTTTCGCGTATCAGAAAGCATTGAATGTGTTTAAGTCGACAAAAGGTGACAATCATCCATCTGTTGCTTCCGTTTTCGTTCGTTTGGCTGAGTTGTACAACAAAATGGGAAAGTTCCGGGAGTCGAAATCTTACTGTGGAAATGCGTTACGAATTTACGAGAAACCGATGCCGGGGAGCCCTAACGATGAAATCGCTAATGGGTTTATCGAAGTTTCCGCGATTTATGAATCGATGAATGAACTTGGTCCAGCGATTAACCTTCTGAAGAAGGCGCTGAAAGTTTTCGGGAAGGTTCAAGGTCAATTGAGCACCATCGCGGGAGTTGAAGCTCAGATGGGGGTTTTGTATTACATGATGCGGCTTTACAACGATTCGTATGATTACTTCAAGATCGCGGTTTCGAAGCTGAGAGTGGTGGCGGAGAAGAAATCGGCTTTATTTGGTAGTGTTTTGAATCAAATGGGATTAGCTTGTGTCCAGATTGAATTGTTGGATGAAGCTGCGGATTTGTTTGAAGAAGCGAAGGGGGTTTTGGAGGTGGAATATGGTCCTCATCATCCGGAGACACTCGGCGTTTACAGTAATCTGGCGGGAACTTATGATGCAATGGGTAGATGGGAAGATGCGATTGAGATACTTGAATATGTGGTGGGGATGAGAGAGGAGAAACTGGGAACAGCGAGTTCGGACGTTGATGATGAGAAACGACGGCTGGCCCAGTTGTTAAAAGATGCACGCAGGGACCGAAGCAAGAAATCTTTGTCGCTTGAATTTCTCCTTGAGGGTTAAATTAGTCGAGTATCTCTCTTAATTTATTTAAAACCAATCCACATATTGATCCAAATGTATGAAATTCCCATGTGCATATATGCAGATGCTTCGTTTTTTGTATATCCTTGGGGTTGTTTAGGCTATGGCTATGGAGAGCCTTTTAACTGTATCAATGACATCTCAAGGGTAGCAGAAATGGTTCACTTTTCAATCTTTATTGTTGAAAGTTGCTCATGGGATGAAGTTGATTTAAATACAGTAACACAATCTTGTAAGTTTGTTGTACTAATTTGAGTTTGTAGAATAAATTTAACTCCTTTCAATTTTTAATCTTTAGAGCGTATTCTACAACTTGGGTTTTCTACACATTGATTCATGTGTCCTTTTTATGTGATCGAGATAATTATCAAATGCATTAACAAGCAAACAATAATATTCTAATCGATTTGGGATACATCACTTAGTTGACTACAAAACTGTCTCTAGTTTTCACATCCAGAATTTACATTAAACTAACAATTAAGATCTTTCTCTAGAAAGCATCCAAAGCAGCTCCTATGGCAAAAAAGATCACCATCTTAACATATATTGTTACTACTACAATCACCATGCATGGAAGTAATCACATCTGTCGTCCCATTTGCTCATCCTCTTCCCTTCTACCAAATCTATTCCACAACCAAATTAAAAGGGACTTCAATCTTCATAGCTATACGGACACAAGTCCTTTTACATATTTTTTTTTATCTTTGATTTCATCATCATCACCTCTCTATATCCATGTTTGGCGACCCGAAAACGTCCCTCCAAGACACCTCAGTTCTCCCTTGGACTTGTGACCCTCCAAACATAGAAACTTCATTACTCCTCTAATGAAGCTCTAAAACAATTGTTTCGTGAATGATCATGTCCATGGATTGCTTCAACCCTATGCAATCCAAGGAGAATAATTTGTTCCAAGTAAGTAACATGGTTGTGAAAGCTTGCTAATATACGTCCCTTTAGTTTTCCAGTTCTCGAACCGATAATACCCGACTCTGTCTGCTGACACGTAGCCCTTGAACCACTGTACTCTTAAGATCAAATTAGTTTATACGAAAATGCACTCTGCACCTCCTAAACTCGCAATGTCACAAAAATTGAGCTCAACATATCTCGAATTCAATCACACTAAACGAATCGATGACACTAAAATTACTAACGTTATGTTTTGAAACATTAATTTTGAACAAAAATAATTTAACTAAAGTGACATAAAGATGTTAGGGGTCATGTGGCACAGTTTAGTCTTTAGGAACAACATAAATCGAACCAAACGAGTTGGTTTTTTAATTTTGAAAAGTTAAATAATTGATAGTTTTGATTTTTCGGCTTACAAATTACAATGAACTAGTGAAATAGAAGCATGATGTTATATAGTTTTTTTTTTTATTTTTTATTATCTTTATATATGTTTCTCATTGACCTTTTTCATAATTTTGTTTCAAAAATAAGTAATGAACTAAAAAAGACAATACAAGATAATGATATAATAATTTACGAGAAAATAAGTTTGTTAAATATGAAAAATATTCTAATCATTTGGTTTAAACTTTGATAAAAGAAACATAAAAGCAATGTGGAAAAGAAATACTAAAATAAAATGATCCAACAGAAAACGAGAAAGCGGTGACCGGTGACTGACTGACTGTCTAAGCACACGGAGCAGCAATGGCTGCCTATTCACTTCTTTCCACATGCGCCTTCTCTTCTCTTCCTTCCCATAACTCCACCATACCTTCTCTTTCTAGAACCCTCTCTCTTCGCACACCCAATAGCTATAGGCATACCTCCTGCATCGTCGCTTCTTCTCTTCGCGAACCTTCTCACCCCACCTACTCTCCGACGCCGGAATCTACCCACAGATCCTCCTTGGACAAATTTATGAACTCGTGCTTCGTGATTTGCACTTCCGTAGCTCTTTCCGCCTCTGTTTTCGTCACCGATGTGGACTCAGCTGCCGCTTTCGTTGTCGCTACGCCTAGGAAGTTGCAGACGGATGAGCTCGCCACTGTTCGTCTTTTCCAGGAGAATACTCCTTCTGTTGTCTACATTACCAATTTAGCTTCCAGGTATTTAGCTTACTTGTTCCGATTTCAATGGATACTTGCTTTGTGTCCTTTTGCTGGATTTGATGCAGAGTGATATAATCGAAGTATTGAGCACAATTTTTTTCTGTAGTATAGTATAACCGTAAATGATCCAACTCGTTTGCACATATTTTCATTTTTAATGCTCATTTCATGAGATCATTAGAAAAAGCTATACAGGTTATGAACTTATGACGCTTAAATGCTTACATTTGGCTTGTTGATTTCGTGGAATCAACTGAGATTGATATTATGTGGTTTAGGCAGGATGCGTTTACTCTGGATGTGTTGGAGGTGCCTCAAGGATCTGGATCAGGGTTTGTTTGGGATAAAAACGGTCACGTTGTCACAAATTATCATGTTATACGCGGTGCATCCGATCTCAGGTTTGTTGCTTTTGGTATTTCCATTGTGTTGAACTATGAACTGATGGATTATCTTCCCTATTAAGTTGTGTTAGAAATGTCTATGAATCCATAACTTTTATCTGCTAAGATTGAAGTGATGTATGTTTGTTCAGAGTAACTCTCGCTGATCAAACCACTTATGATGCAAAAGTTGTTGGTTTTGACCAAGATAAAGATGTTGCTGTATTGTCTATCGATGCACCAAAAGACAAATTGAGACCAATCCCAGTTGGCGTGTCAGCCGACTTGCTTGTTGGGCAAAAAGTTTTTGCTATTGGAAACCCTGTGAGTGTGGATACATATATATATATATATATATATATATATATATATATATGTGTGTATGTTGTGTGTTTTCTGCTAATATCTCCATAACATGTTATCCCACTGCAGTTTGGGCTTGATCACACACTTACAACTGGTGTCATCAGGTATGAAATTAGTTCAAAAGACCTAGTTTTTAAAGAAACATGTTTGGAATTTGATCCGTATACATTTATAGTGGGCTAAGGAGAGAAATAAGCTCTGCAGCAACTGGGCGCCCAATCCAAGATGTAATTCAGACAGATGCTGCAATCAACCCTGGAAACAGTGGAGGGCCACTTCTTGATAGCTCAGGCAGCCTTATTGGTGTAAACACAGCCATATACTCTCCATCTGGTGCATCCTCTGGTGTTGGGTTTTCCATTCCGGTTGACACAGTAGGTGGAATTGTTGACCAGTTGGTGCAATTTGGGAAAGTTACACGACCAATTTTAGGGATAAAGTTTGCACCTGAGCAATCAGTGGAACAGCTAGGAGTAAGTGGAGTGCTTGTCTTGGATGCTCCTCCAAATGGCCCAGCTGGAAAAGCGGTAATTTTGTAATTTTGTGGTTGTCTTCTTATTAATTATCTCACTACTTCACTTTTGCTTCTGAACCTTAATAATTTGAATTTGAATTTGTGCAGGGTATTGTATCAACAAAACGTGATGCGTATGGGAGACTTGTATTGGGTGATATAATAACATCTGTAAATGGGAAAAAGGTTGCTAATGGGAGTGATTTATACAGAATTCTTGACCAATGCAAAGTGGGTGAGAAGGTAAGTTCATGGTGAATTTTGTAAGGTCCTTTTCAGTATGTTAAAGATGTAATTGGAAGTTGTTTGTGGATGGTTTCAGGTGACTGTTGAGGTGTTGCGTGGTGATCATGTGGAGAAGATTCCTGTTATGCTTGAACCAAAGCCTGATGAAACATAAGAGGTCAGTTTAATGTGAACTTGTTGTATGTTTGCTAGTTGTTGGGAGATGGGAATCATGATTGATGTGAAAACTGCAAATAATAACTAATCTTAGATGGGATGTCATATAGGTTTTGAATCTGAAGTAGAATAAGAAAATCCCCATCTGAATCTATTTGTTTCTGTTGTAATCGTAAAACATTTGTAAGGAAGTCGGCAAATTGAGAAAAAGAGAATGCATCATCTGTACTTTAAGGTATGGTGAAAATCTTTAAACAAGTTGCCATTTATCTTGATTGTCCTTGAATTTCAAACTTTGATGAGAATAGGGAATTTTATGCTTGTGGGGGCTACTTTATTTTGATTGTTATAATTATAGTATTAAGGAGGAAGTTAATTAGTGTAAGGTGGTGTTTGGATTTGAGTTTGAAAAAAAAAAAAAAAAAAAAAAACAAACAAACAGTTACTTGCTTGTGCGGTAGCAATTAGCAAATATATGTGGTGGCAAAACACTATAAGGTGAGAAACACTTTTTGGAGTGTTTGGCAAAAAAAAAATCCTTATATATGTAAACAGTAAAGTAACCAAAGAGGGCAAAAACTTGATGGGGATTGAGTTGATGAAGGGCCAGAGGGATGTCAACGGATGTAAACTATATTCAGCGATTTTGTAAATGAACTATATATTGACTTCTTAAAAAGCCAACAAGTCAATAAGTTGTTTTGAAACTCCAATCCAAATGGGATGTCAATGGATTGATCACGAGTATATTAATGTTATTTTGGGTGTTATTAAATCTCCAAAGACCAGGGCTATAAACAAACTAAATGAACATGAACAATGACTTGTTTATGTTTATTCGTTTAAGTTGACTAAACAAACGAATAAACACAAACATATAAACGGACGGATTTTATTGTTTATCTTCGTTCATTTAACTAATTACCTTGTTCATGCTTGTTTGTTTATGTTCATTAAGGTGTTAAACGAACAAACTTAAAACAACATAAGTTGACATATATGAACATGAACATCCAAATCAAGACCATAAAAGTTGACTGTCAACATTTTTCATATGTTGCTCGTATTTAACAGTGCCATTTTTTTTTATCTTTCTATTATTGATGTCCGTTCATTTATTAACTAAACGAACTTTCCGCCAAACAGTTTGTTGAATGTTCGGTTTGTACCGTAGTATGTGAGCCGCACCATAATGGCGATATGGTTATATGGCAACCTTATTCAACGATTTTGAGTTTTAGCATTTGGTCTTGATTTTTGTTAAATGATTGCAATAGGTTCTTAATACTTGTTTGTGTATGGTGTATAAAAGGGTTACTCAGATCTTGGGATACTATGAGAGATTGAAGAGTAAATTGAGGGGTCGATGAGTAAATTGAGTCAACTTGTAATGGGTATATCTATGTAGGTGATTGTCGGTGTTCCTTAGCTTTTCTGGATGTTGCATATTCAGTGAATATGGGTAGATAGACCTTTGTGTACGAGACGAAACAATTTTATTTTGCGAGAACTAGGGTATTTAGTGAAGTGTTTGTGTATACTATGTATGACTCGGGGATATGGGCATCTTACAAGTACACATCGTGCATGCCATTGTCGTCTACAATCTTTACGTATAGGAATAATTTATTTACAGATAATTGCAATGTATACATGTATAGCAAGTATGTATCTATGTATATGTATCAAATTATATATCAATTGACAAAATAACAAAAAGAAAGAAATTACCAACCAGATGCCAATGCCGGAATGCCAAAGATCCCATTATCTTGAAACTTCTTAAGCTTCAAACAGTATTCTTCATTAGTGTCACACTTGAGCAGACTCCACAAGTAAAATTTGTTAGATGGCAATGAAAATGAACGTTTGTTTCAAAGCCATTGTATTTGTATGTATGGTGTGATTGATATGCAACTATTTGGGAGCCAGCCTTATAGGACACACAGAGAATGCAACACATCGAGCCGCTTTTGCTAACATAAACCGCTCATTTTCTGTCAATGCCCTCTCAATCACTTTCACAATATTCGCATCCTAAAAAAAATACAATGTCAGTATGTTATGTCTTACTCTTACCCTAAAAAAAAAAAATTTCATGTATACCTTCTTTGGATGTTGAATAGAAGGCCTCACACTTGCCACGTCACCAACCTCAAGTATATTATTAACATTCCCCCTGTCATCCCTTTCTGTAGGTGAAGTTGTTGAATGCCTCCAATCCCCATTCACTATAAACTTGTAATAATACCTGATCAAACAAACATCTCATCAAATTAATTAGTCACATCACATAGTTTGACCAAAATAGTCAACATAAATTAAAAGTAGAATGCTAAAACTTACTTCCCTTGTGCAAGTCGAACTTCAGCTTCATATCGTGGCCCACCTTTATGTATTGCCTTAACTGGTTCTTTCCAGTTCCCGGTGAAATCTCCAATTAATTCCACATTCTCTCCCTCATGTCCATTCCACACAAACGTGACAGAATGGGTAGCGGGCCCCTCATGTTTCCCATTTTCCACCATAGCTATCAAATCCCATGTTGCCCATGCAATTGCTGCTCTATCAGGACGACACGTGTGCAATCCAGATACATAATTGTAAGCTGCATGAAGTGAAGTATCAGTCATCCAATGAAGATATGCAATCACACAAGCAGGAGACCGGTCAAACCCATTCGTGCAAGTCACATAAACACAATGGTTCTTTTTCAGCAACCGTAAAAGAAGCCCCACACAAAACGGAAGTTTGCTCCTCATATCAAACGAGTCTCCTTCCCTGTAAAAAAACAAGATTAGAAAAGCAGTGGAAAGACAAATTTGCCCCCAAGGAAAAAGTACAACTTGGATTTTACCTTATTGGATAGTTGATCATCAGGATATTATACTGTTGACATGATTCGTTGATTGCTTTTGAATTGATTTCCCAATTGTCTGCTTCAACTCCACCTTGAAAGTTTAGTACAGCAGTGACTCCGGAGACATTAGCTAAAGTCTCTATATCAGATTCTGTTTGTATGCATGACCCCACATACATTTGATCTGTAATCTGTAGGATAACAAGCCTATCATTGTAATTTATGAATCAAGTTGTTTAATTGATGTGGAGATCTGAATTCTGACCTTGCTATAACGCATACCAAGTGAATGATCATAGTAAAGTTCTCCTTTAGAACGATCTAATGCTTTGATATATTCCTCAAGTGGGAAGCCACCATGTGACCAGTCATCTCCAGATCCTTCTTCAGAGAAAATGGTGACTAGTTGAGTAAATGGTTCATCGGGAATATTTTTGCGTGTTCTTGCACGTGGTTGTCCGTTTTGGTTGATTAAAAGATTCCATCCTTTTGGTGTGGAAAATCTTGGGGTGAACATGATAAACCCTGAGTTCCCGTTGCCCTCGAAAGATGTTCTTAAACTTGATGTGAGTATTGATTTGTTCCAAGTGGCAATAGGAACACGACCTCTGTTAAATTGGACATCTAGATCGCTTTTGTGATGCAGATGTTGAATTGGGAAAGGGGAGAAAGGTCTTTCCAGAACAAGACTACAAAGTCCGGATTTCTCTAACATCATCTTCCTGCAAGGATGAAACCAGATATTTGAATAGATCAGAAGAGATGGAAAGCTGTAAGATATGGTGGTAAAGGTATATGAAAATACTCTGCATCACTGAAGTCCTTAATCTCAATAAGACTGCCACCAGGAGATGCGCTTGCCTTCTTCAGAGTGTCACCCACCATAATTATTCTCGATTTCTCAGCATTGCCCTACACAAGAATCGATACATCTTTAAAAAATGCAGTAAAAATGGCGAAATTGAAAAGTTACCTATGAAACCACAGTAAATTTGAAAATTGTTGCAGATTAAGTGAGAAAAATACGAACCCCTTTCTTCATGGAATGAACTAAGATCTTGCCGTCCAAGGACAGAGCGAAACGAATCCCAAGCGGTTTCTCTAAAGTAACCATATACTCATTCAAATTCATCTTAAATCTGGAATTCGTCGACGCAGACATCGCAAAAACCCTAAATCCTCTTCCTCCTGAACCTACTCTTTGCGTCTTCTCCAAAATTCCAACTCCATTGATCAAACAAAACTCTTTCCCCCAAAACGAAGAGCACATTGAAGTGTGACTCGATGAGAAGTTTCTCAGACACGGAGATTGGCAGAAAACACCGTAATTCGAAACTTGAAGCAGAGACATCGGAGATTAATTAATGGTATGTGAGGAATTGCGGTAGGGTTTTAGTATGATCGTAACAAGATCGAATGCCAATAGTTTGAAGAAATCAAAGTGGGTGTATACAGAGGATTGGATGGTAATGGTATGGGGTAATGGGGTTTATTGAGATTGGAGCAGAGTGGTGTCCTCGGTGCAGGTGAAATCATGTAAGCTGGCTGGATAATTCGGGAAAGAGAAGCCACATAGTCAGTCAACCTTTGACCTTTTTGCGGGATTTACACACCACGTTAGTTGCGATGGGACCCCCCTTCCACGTGTTTCACTTTAACTTTTCTTTTTGTTGCCACGCGAGTACACTGTAAAGTGATTACTTGAAGTTGAAAAGTCAAAAGTTTGTGGTTGAGCTCGATAGTTCTTTTCGACTATATTATGAACCGGTTTGAAGTTTTGAAATATAAAATTCGGCCTTTCTAAGATTAGTCCTTTCGAACATCTATATAAAATTTCTCCTTAGTCCTTAGGCCCATGTTTGCAAAAAGCCCAAAATTTGTAAATTTAGACCTATGCAATTGTAAGCCACCCTAAGGGGAAAAGAAATCATGCTAACAAGAAGGGCCAAAGTTGGATGTTGTTTTGGGTGGTGCTAAATTCTTGACGGCCCAATCACGCGAATGGAAACTCAAAGGCCCTCAAATTCAGTACTCCGTTTCAATAAGGTAAATTATTTTTCAACATCTCAAATTTATGATTTTTGTCTCTGGACATCTCAATTCTAATTATATATGGTTTACTATTGGATTACACCTTGAAACCATATGTGAGCCATTTCAAAAGTAACCTTGTCTAGCGTTTACATCCGATAGTGTATCGTCTCTCAAGCTCTTTACTTTATTATTTAGTGTTTACATCTCAAAAGTAAAATACATATGTTTGTGTTGTTTTACAAAATTTGTCTAGTGTATTATCTTTGTTTCACTCACTTCCGACCCATAAGGCGTGCAAGTTATACAACTGCTAGAGGTGGACATAAGGAC